GGTTGGGTGGGTCCTGGTCGAACACAGGAAGACACACTAGAATACAAGGGCTGGGACAGGTAACTCGGGTTGGGTGGGTCCTGGGCGAACACAGGAAGACACACTAGAATACAAGGGCTGGGACAGGTAACTCGGGTTGGGTGGGTCCTGGTCGAACACAGGAAGACACACTAGAATACAAGGGCTGGGACAGGTAACTCGGGTTGGGTGGGTCCTGGGCGAACACAGGAAGACACACTAGAATACAAGGGCTGGGACAGGTAACTCGGGTTGGGTGGGTCCTGGGCGAACACAGGAAGACACACTAGAATACAAGGGCTGGGACAGGTAACTCGGGTTGGGTGGGTCCTGGGCGAACACAGGAAGACACACTAGAATACAAGGGCTGGGACAGGTAACTCGGGTTGGGTGGGTCCTGGTTGAACACAGGAAGACACACTAGAATACAAGGGCTGGGACAGGTAACTCAGGTACTCGGGTCGGGTTGCCCCTGGATGAACACAGGAAGACACACTAGAATACAAGGGCTGGGACAGGTAACTCGGGTACTCGGGTCGGGTTGCCCCTGGACGAACACAGGAAGACACACTAGAATACAAGGGCTGGGTCAGGTAACTCGGGTACTCAGGTCGGGTTGCCCACCTGCACGAACAAAGGAAGACACACTAGAATTTTACAAACTTGATTCAGTGGTACTGATGTATCTGACCAGACAAATACAGTTAAATGTTTTACTGATGAGCCTGCCCAAAGCAAAGGATGTTTTTTTATCCTCTGCCATGAAGTGGGGTGGGGGATATAGGAACGTAGTTCGGCCATCCGCTTCTCAAAGGGTACAAATTTTCTTGTATGCTATTTAAATCAGAGAAATTAAAATTTACACACTGATTTTACTGGTCATGATCTCAAATGAATTTCAAGAATTGGTGTCGTAAATTCATTTTTTACAAAGTTATTGCCCTTGCTCCGTGATTTTCAACTTAGTACATACTATGAGAAATGGGGACAAGTTTTCTCAGAAACTACTGAAGTTACTTGAATGAAAGTTTGCATGCCTATCTAAGAGATACTTGTCAAGACTGAGTTCTAAGATTGGTCCTGTCAATCATTGTTTCACAGAGTTATGCCCCTTGTTCCATGCATTCCAACATAGTGCACACTGCATGAAATGAGGACATATTTTCTCAGAAACTACTGAAATTACATAAATGTTTGCATGCTTATCTAAGAGATACTTGTTAAAACTGATTTTGAAAATTGGTCCCGTCAATTATTTTTTTTACAGGGTAACAGCCATGATATTTTACTTTGTGCATAATGTCTGCAATGGGAACAAGTTTTCTCAGAAACTACTGAAGTTAGCTTATCTAAGAGATACTTATCAAGACTGAGTTATTTTTTCCAGAGAAGGGGCCTTTTGTGTGTATTTATTTCACATTTAATCATTTTTTCTGATGACATGAAGCTACCAAAGTGCCTATCTCTTCTTAATGCTTTATAGGACTCAATTTTATAGTTTATATTCACTACTATATGAACAAACAAAATTCTAATGTGCCCCATGGCCAGGGATAGTGATAATGCTGTTTTCTTGTTATATCTATGTTTGATTGAATAAATGCACTAATTACCTATTTTTCATGTTTTTTGTTAAATTTAATTTCATGTTTAAGTTTGGTTTTTTTATTGATTTTTTATGTCTTGGTAAGTTTGGTAGGCAAGGTAGGTGATTATAAATTGAGCAAAAAACACATTGTTAGCTGTTCTTCAAACTTTCATCTGAATTATCGCCATGGGCATCTTGTTTGTGAAGCCATTTTTCTTCATTATTGCAGATTAACATGGTTAATCATATTATCGTATTGCTTACACAATGATCCAATGCAGAGTTCCAGATAACTTTTGTAGCAATTGAGTTTTTACTCTAGGGTTTCTATTTTCATTGGGTTATTACATTTTTCATTGGGTAACGAATATTTTTTCTCTCTATTGGGTTTTTCCAAAAATTAGTGAAAATTTAAGATTTAAAAAAAATGAAATAATGTTTTAGATGTATATAACTGTTCAAAATATATATAGGAAATTAGCTCCTTTGTACGCATGAAGAAAAAGTTTCATTGGGTATTTACGCGAGCTGTTTTTATACATTTGAGTTTTTCATTTAATGAATGCGTTTCTGTACGCAAGTTAATTGAAAGTAATTGGGTTTTGAATATTTTTGGGGAGTATTTTACGCAAATATGCTGCTTATCTGTAGCTCTGTGTAAGTTTACATTTGACGGAATCAGTCTTATTAAAGTCCAATCTCATTCAAATTACATCTAAGTTCTCGCTGGCGCTAAACAAAGATATGAGGGCAACCCATCAGAACGAACTTTTGCGAACTTTGACCGACCACTGAAATGAATAACAAGAAGTCGACATCAGCCAATTAAAAAGCAGCTTTCTCGAGCTTTACAGCACTCATTTCAACCTGGCGACTTCCATTTCAGACCTAGCTTGAAAAATATGTTGATACAGTTCTCGATTAAAATTTTGAGAACTGAACAAACGAACATTCCGGAATGTCTAATATATGGTTGAGATTGTATAGCAGTGTTTCCCACATACTGTGCAACGCCTCCTCCGTTCAAATGTTTATCCCACGGAAGCAAGAGGTAGACGATCATTTTGACGGAATCAGTCTTACGGGCCGTAACTGTCGTTCGGAATACCCCGTGGTAACGTTTTCATGGTTGTGTGATTAGAAAACACATTCCGACTGTCACTTTCATGATCTGGTAAGCGACGCTTTGATTGGTCATATGAAAGGTCGTTCTGACATGGCCGCTAATGGGGTGTCCTCAGATCTTTGTTTAGCGATAGCGAGAACTAAGATCTGATTTTAATAAGATTAATTAAAGTCAGATCTTTTACTCCATCCAATATGATACCTCTCTCTTGAAAATCTTATACAAGACATATCACCCAGCAAGTTCACGACAAAAGTCATGTAACCAGAAAATTCATGATATCAGATGTTTCAACCAGTAAGTTTATGTATAATAAGGTCGTTCTGACGTGACCTGTAATGGTATGTCCTCAGATCTATGTTTAGCGATAGCGAGAACTAAGATCTGATTTTAATGAGATTGAAGAAGTATCAGTCAGCAAGTTTATGACAGAAGTCATATAGCCAAAACATTCATGATATCAGATGTTTCAACCAGTAAGTTTATGTACCTGAAGTATCAGCCAGCAAAGTCATTTCACGAGTCCCATTATTCAGCACGTTTTAAGGGTCTATTAGAAACATATTTATCTCCCCTTGATTTGTATGTGCTAGGCGTTTTATTTTATAACTTCAGACGTGTTCACACTCTAGTTGCTTATAACAACAGCCTATTCTCACTGTTTGAATAGCGCAAACAAGGGTTTTCATTCAAGCATTGTTATCATCCAACAAGTTGATGATACAAGATGTATCACCCAACAAGTTGATGATACAAGATGTATCACCCAACAAGTTGATGATACAAGATGTATTAACCAGCAAGTCCTTTATTCAAGAGGAGTACCTGTATTTCTCCAGAGAAATGTCCCTCCCATCAATGTCTTCAGCTGTAAACTCGTAGATGGAGGCAGCATTCTTCCAAACACTCTGGCCATCTGCCCCTGCCTGACATAACAGTGTTTACAACCTTTATGAGTGTTTGTGTGCAAACTGTGAAGCATGTATATGGATAAACTATATAATCAGTGCAAACTTGAACAATAGCTAAGTACAGATGATTAAAACATACACTGATGTAAAAATGCTCAACGTAGCGGACATTAAGTGTCTGTGTTCCGTGATGGGATTAGAACCACAGACATTCTGATCCAAGGTCGGACACCTTGTTCACATGACCAAGAGGTTAACCCCGTCAGAAAACTGACAAGGTAAGGGTGCCGTATGTGGGATGACCTAAAGCCCATGATTATGAAACAGTGAAGTGAAAATATTTCTCCTTTTTTTCACATTTCACAGTCACTTTTCACTCTATTTGGTGCATTTTAAATAAATCTGAGCTTTTTCACCAATTCGTCTGAGCTGGCATGCACTTGTCTATTAAAAGAGAAATCTTTTAACCGTTATTGGTAAAATCATCACACTTTAACCTTGTTCACTGGCAGACAAATATTTTTGTGATTGTTGATTAAAGATCTAGATCTACTGAGAAATAGATCAATTTTAAATTTGCAAAATTTAAGGCCACTTTCAATTTCAATGTAGTGTTTTTCCTTAGACATTTTATCATTACTGTTGATGGCACATTCCAAATACAATGCCGTATGAAAACTGTTGCGTAATGGCGTAGTGATTGGGTAACCATGCATAACTGATGAGTGCGGGCATTGGTGATCGCGTCCTTCATATTTTCATGAATAGAATTACATAAAATCAAACATGAGTTTGGAAAAACACAACTCATTTGGCCCAAATATATATTGACATATCAAGACACAACTGTCAGCTCGCCAGAGTAACAGACATACCATTTTCGGCTCGACGCATATCGTACCAAGCTCCATTCTAGCTACTAAGATACCTGTAAACAAATTTACGTTAACTCCCTACACGCATAGGATGGTAATGTCGCATGCCCTGTGCAGAGTTTTGGCGAATGAGCCTAATATAGTTTCGTGTACCAGAAACGGTAATATTTGCTAAAACAGTAATTATAGATTCCTTAATAATGTTATATGATAAGAAAGCTGTAATATACGTAGTTTTTTAATCACAAAATTTCGAAACAATTTTGGGACAACTTTACTTATACGTATACTACTTGTATACAACATATTTTATAAAAGTGAAGGAATATACTATTTCAGGAGTCGTTCTGGTAAAATATCAATAAGATCTTTCAAATAATATTTACATTATGTCAACTTGGATTTCTGTCATCAAGAAAAGAGTATTATTGTTGAATATTAACATATTCTATTTAATCATTATGAAGTTGATATAAGTAGTTTTTAAGATATACGTATCTATATTTTCGTGGTAAATTCAGCACAACACGTGAAAGCAAACTTCTGCATTGTTTTTATTCGGTTCGTTATGGATGATGAACAAGAAACTTACAAGTTATGGCGCATCAGAAAAACTATCATGCAGGTATTTTACAAGGATTAGATATCGGCGATACACGAAATCTGTTGTACGTCATGCATGTCAGGGTGATAATTCAGTATTGATAGAGCCAATATCGGCATGTTATTAGGTGATGATGTCTGTTTGCGGCCTACAATACCACCACTAAACGTCCATGAATAAGAATACATTCAAATATTTAATGTATGAATGTCTTGTTAATCCTACCAATCCGAATGCCCCTTGATGTAATCATGGTAATGAAATCAACTTGACTGATTGCAACAATCAACAGAAACAGGTACTACGCATCATTGACCTGACCATGTTTTGATAATCATATGGCGTCCCATATATGTAACAGATATGTTTGTTCGAAAGGTCAGGAAAACTAGAAAGTACTGTGAAGTTTGTAACTTTGCAGTGAAGACACTGACATGATGCAAGAGCCTAATACTGTCATGTCAGCATTATCAACATGTTATGAATGGGTGCAGGCTAAAACAGCACCTCAGCAAATGTCACAGATTTCTCAGGCTAAAACGGCACCACATTTGGATAGAATTGCTACTAATTGTCAGGCGAAAATGGCACCTCTACTTTTAATAATGATAAGAATGACATGCTTTATTATGTCAGGTTGTTTTCCTTGTGCGGGGACACAGTCCGTTATCCGCAGAAACATTCTTGTGGTGGCAGAAAGGGGAGTGCCATGAGTTTTCTTACAAACTTGTGGATTGCGTCGTCCTCTATGTAGGCTAACTAAGTATAAGTAAACAAGTATTATTTCTTATTACAAGTGACCATGTGAGTTTAATTTAATTTATTTTACTTCAAAGCATGTGATGTTTACACAGTAAGTTTAAACTGAAGTAAAGGCTAATTTCTAATCACCCCACTGTAAACTTGTTTTAACATTTTACAATTATTTATGTGCAAGTGACCATGTGAGTTTAATATCATTTATTTCAGTACCAAGTTAAAAAAAATAAGGTGCCGATGTCGCCTGGCAATAGTTTTCGAACACCTGATTGGTTTGGTCCTGAAACAGGAATATATAGTATCCAGTCTATATTATTGTTCCTATTCATCATGGTACAGGCACCAAAATTCACATGAACCCAATGTTGACAGGATGGAAGAGAGAACTGTCAAGTCAGTAGCTTTGATAACGTCACACATCTCATTTTAACATGACAAATCACTATCACTAAATACAGTTAATGCTACTTCAAGGGTTGTGGAAATCTATGTACACTTGCCAGGGTTTGGAATAGTTTCTAGTTTCCAGATGAACACGAACACAACTACTGTCTTTAGAATCATGTGAAGATATGTGAATAGATAAATGATAATGTCTCAAGACACATTTTAAGCTCACCTTTTTGAAAATGTTCTGGAAAAGCTCTTTTTTGACAGTATCAGAATTAGATATGGAATAACAATGAGCATGCACCTATAACATGTATAATTAACCTTGTGAATGTGTTAATGTTCCTTTAGTCATTGTTAATTACCAAATGGAAACATTTTATTCCTTCAGCTATGTCACGATCGAGGCTATCTGGTGACACAAGATGAATTGGACCAAACACTGGATGAATTCAAGGCTCAGTTTGGTGATAAGCCCAGGTTAGCCAAGTTGAAATTTTGTTTTATTTTTGTCTTATCTGGTCTTTGACCAGTGGAGTTAATGATTTGTTTCTTTATGCTGCAGTCAGCAACAGTCTGTGACTTAGGCCACTAGCCCAAAGCCAATTTCAAGTAAAATTCTGTTCAGTCTAGTACGCTGAAATGTACTAAAAAGTGTGTTAAGAGCGAAGTTAGGGCTAGTAGACTCAAAGGTATTTGGTGCAGACTGCACTCACTCAATGATTATTACTATGAGGGTATAATGACACACAGTGATAGATCACCCGTGAAGATCTGGGGTAGAATAGGTCTTCAGCAACCCATGCTTGCTGTAAGAGGCAACTAAGGGGATCAGGTGGTCAGGCTCGCTGACTTGGTTGATGCATGTCATCCTATTCCAGTTGCATGGACCGATTCTCATGATATCAATCACCACTGGATTTTCTAGTCCTGACTCGATTATTTACAGACCGCCGTCATATAGCTGGAATATTGTTGAGAGCGGCGTTAAACAAACAAACAAACAAACACAGTGACAGAGCCTGACCACCTGATCTTCATTACAACAAACGTGAAATACTTGAGACCTATTCTGAACCAGAATGCATGCCTGGACATAAGAGACGTGTGTGAGATGTTTGTAAAAATGTTTTGTGTGCTCATTGGTTGCCATGGTTATGTGTGGTTTTTGTGTTGTATTAATATGATTAAAGCTTTTTAAAGGGACTTTCATGTTTTTGCTGTTGGTCTTTTAAATGAAGTCTCACTACGAGTGAAAGATTGTAACACAACTTGTTTATTCAAGACCCAGACTCAAACTGCCCTCACTACAATCCCAGTCACATCCTCACAACTGAATCACATATCCTAGCAACATGTACCAAACATTCGATCACTTACCATTCCTTTCAATTTATTTAGCACCATTAGAATAGAACTAACTCAGTGTTTACCATCGTTCCTTTATGTAGAGTTATCTCCCTTTGACCATAAGCTGTTGTCATTGATACTAGTACTGAGTACAAGAATCTGTGTTATAGCTGCAGTGTTTTATTTGACATGGATGGTACCATGTAGGGAATCGAACATTGGTGTTCAGGGTGATGCTGTAACTTAACAATAGGCTACCTTATTTATTGAATATTGATTATATGATTTATGAGGTGAGGTGAAATGGGGCTTAACGTCGCGTCCAAGATTATTGCACTTATATAGCGATGTGCATGCATGTGTGTGTGTGTGTGGCTGCTTGTACTAGTCCGGACTGATGCCGATTTACAGTGCTAGCTCACTGAGATACCATGCCACAGTTTATCATGAATACCCCACTCAGACACAGTATACTGACTCCGAGCCAACCAGTCCTTGTTTTAGCCCCTTAATGCCGAGGGCCAGGCAGGGTAACAACAAGTGCCATCTTTTAACGTTTTTTGGTATGACGCGGCCGGGGATCGAACCCCAGACCTTCTGCTCTCCGGGCGGACGCTCTACCACTAGACCACAGAGGCGGTTTTATGATTTATGATCATGCTGTACCAGGAGGCCAATTATCTCAGTTTCCTCACTGTCTTAACACCTGCATCATTGTCGTCTTTCCTCCCAACATTTAGCTGACTGATCTGCTATTCAAAGTGACATCAAACCCAACTCACCCATGCCTTCACCTTGGTAATCATAATAATAGTCATGGTAATAATACTTTGTTTCAGTGAACGGAAGCCGGGAAGAAGTGACCTGATTGTTCTTGTAGCTCACAACGATGACCCCACAGGTGAGAGGTTGTTTTAGTTTATGTAACAAGGATTGCACTGCAGTGTTCAAACTAAAACATGAAAGTAAAGGGGTCATTGTCATAGCCCTAGGAGGAAAAGACTTGCAGGGTCCGTAGATCAGTGTTAGAAACAAAAACAAATGCCAGGCTGCATCAGGAGCTACAGACTTTAGAAGCTGCAGGCCCTGACTAAACTCTTCAGACTCTATTTTAAAAAACTGCAGCTTATTGTGACAAATAAATAGACATGTAAAATTTTGCATGCCATGGGGACCCGACACGAGATCTACCTGCCACAGGCCTTCAGACAAGTGCTTATTTCGAAGACTGCCCTAGTATAGTTCAAACCTCGAGGACCCCAGTACTATTTGTAACTCAGCAATGTTTATTTCCATATGTGCTGTCGTATGTGTGGATGGATAAATTTCAAGGCAATATAATATTCATATATCAGATGTTGCTGCAACCTATTTATTATTGGGAGTTCTTATCATGCTTATAAAGAGTGTTTGATTGTTTGTTTGTTGTTTAACGCCGCACTCAGCAATATTCCAGCTATATGAGGGGCTGTCAAGTAGCTTAGTGGTTAAAGCGCTCGGTTCGATTCCCGGACATGGGTACAAGGTGTGAAGCCCATTTCTGGTGTCCACCGCCTTGATATTGCTGAAATGTTGCTAAAAGCGGCAAAAAATCATACTCACTCCAGCTATATGACCGCGGTATGTAAATACTCAAGCCTGGACCAGACAATCCAGTGATTGATGTCATGAGCATCAATCCATACATTTGGTATATGATTGAGTCGTCTCTTACAGCAAGCATGAGTTGCTGAAGACCAATTCTAACATGAATCTTCACAGGGCTTGTTAGGCTAGGGAAGTTCATGATGAAACTTTGTATGAGGATGAATTCTGACAGATTGTGTCCTGTTCTTGTTTCAGATCAGATGTTTGTGTTTTTCCCAGAAGAACCTAAAGTTGGAATCAAAACAATCAAGACTTATTGTCAGAGAATGCAGGAAGAAAACATTACGCGCGCCATTATTGTTGTACAAGCAGGGATGACGCCATCGGCCAAGCAGGTCAGTTACCATGGTAGCAGGTATCTAGGCGTGTTGAAGGTGTTGATTGTCTTCACGCTAAAGTTCAACTCGGAGATCAATATCAAGTAGTCACGAAGCAGTTTCACATTCAAGGCTAATGCTTCTTTTTTATTTGTGATGGCACAAACTGTGAGAAAATTCTTTTTGTATGTTTTTGCCGCTAATATACTTCCATAGCAATGACAGTTTGCATCAAACTCTGATTGCTTAACTTTTAGAATAAGTCTTGCTCTTAAGACATGTTTACCCTATGGTATGATATCATGTTTAATGTGTACCATTGTGTTAAGCATTTCATTATTTTGTCATTATTTTAAAACATTTTTATTGAAAGAAGCTATCAATGTTTTATAATGTTTTAGATTATATACTGATGGAAACGAATATGGGAACAATTTTAAACATTCTGGGAGTGTCATGTTGTTTGAGTGTAGGGAACTATGTTCTGCAGGCTCTGGTGGAGATGGCCCCCAAGTATATCCTGGAGCAGTTCCGGGAGGCCGAGCTTCTCATCAACATCACAGAACACATGGTGAGTCTGTCAGTCAGTCAGTGGGTGGTCATCTTCCCAAGGCAAGTGAGTTAACTGACTATAAAAGTCCAGTTTCCACCCTTGCCGAACTAGGCTGGTATTATGGAGTTACATTTTGGCTGGACTAACGAGTCTATGCATAGTCCAATCAAAATCACGCACCAAAATCGAAATCCGGTTCGTAAAGTGTCATGCAGATTTCAGTCGTCTGCAGTATTTGCAAAGCATGTGCACCGCTAACTTGTTGTCAACAGATATTTTCATATCTTTTCATGTTTTTAATCAAGGTGCTCACGCGATTTGATGCACTTTGCAATTTTATCACAATATAGATCTTAATTATCGATCCGATCGTCTTGACTGGGCGCCACCGTTTTGTTTGAAGCAAATGCAAGTGATCTGAGAGTATGAATCTGATTGGTCAATAGGAGAGGCATGGAAAGGACATAACTCGTAATAGCCACTGGTGGCGCTACGATCGAGCCCATGAATTCCAGCCTAGTTCGGCAAGGGTGGAAACTGGACTTTTAAAGTCAGTTAAATCTCTTGCCTCGGGAAGATGGTGGGTGAGTGAGTGAGTGAGATGGCCCCCAAGTATATCCTGGAGCAGTTCCGGGAGGCCGAGCTACTTATCAACATCACAGAACACATGGTGGGTGAGTGAGTGAGTGAGTGATGCCGCAGTCAGCAGTATTCCATCCGTAAGTCAGGTGGTTAGGCTCTGTGACTATTTACACACTACTGTCCTATTTTTGCTGAGTGCTGTGTTAAACAAAAAAACTGTAGTTATTTTTGGTCCAGATAGTGTAGATAGACAGACAGATGAATGAATGAATCATATGTCATTGTAATTCAAAATCTAATCAGCCTAATCAGAACAATCTTGCAAATGTTGAAAGTGAAGATTAGTTTTGGTTACATGTGCACTGTGGAACTACCAGTAAGTAGGATAATAAAAGCAGGTGTGGATGCAGTCACTGCTTGCCATGTATAGTGTGGAAGGTAATGTTAGGTACCGACATTTACTACATAAAGGGTGCATGGGAATCACGCACGCACGAATAGCGTTGGGCGTCTCAAAGTGCGTGATTCCCGTGCACCCTTTCGAGTTGAGTTGATTGGTTCAACTGTGTCATATGTGACGCAGGGATGGCATTATGCAGATGGTTGTTTCAATGAATGCTCGTTCCATCAGTGACGAACAGGTCTGGTTGTTGATGAAATATAGTGATAGCTAAATAGACAGATCTTTTATTCATGCACTGATTGTCTTTAAATGTAATATCCAGTTATGTATGACTGTTTAATAATCTCATACCAACTCAAACCAATCTCTTACCGATTGGAGAAGGTCCGATAGCTTTTCAGATATTGTAGTAAACGTCGGTACCTTAAATTAACTTCCAGACTATATGTAGGGAAGGGTTATGTTATGCAACTGTGATGAACAGAGTCATCTGGGAGAGATGTGATGATGTGCCTTGCAGGCACACAAAGAGGCCTACAAACACGCAAATCTAATGCTCACTTGCTTTCAAATATGTTTCCTTTCAAAGTCTTGTGTCACTTTAGAGTAACCAGTAAATTTACAGTAACCAGGCTTCTGGCAAATGTCTTAGCATGTAGAAAGCCGAGAACCAGCTGTGCTTGTGTTGTTGTCATTATTACATCATATTAGAGGATCACTAGAGCTGTCCAGGTGCAGAAAATCTTTCATCTTCAACAAGGCTTTTACATAGGATCCTGGGTTCGAGTGAGTGAGCGAGTTTGGTTTTAAGCCACTTTTAGCAAGATTCCAGCAATATCATGGCAGGGGAAACCATTAATGGGCTTAACACATTGTATCCATGTCGGGATTTGAACCCGGGTCTTCGGATTGATGAGCGAATGCTTTAACCACTACCCAACCGCCCCTCATGGGTTCAAAACTATTGACGTTCAGGAAGGACTAGTGACGTTATCTTGTGGACTACTACTTTTTCCATTAGATAACTATGTATTAGATCATTTTTGCAGACAAATGAAAGTACGAATTAATATCCAAGCCTGTAAGAGACAGCCTCCGTGGTCTAATTGTAGAGCGTCCGCCCGGAGAGCGGAAGGTCCGGGGTTCGATCCCCAGCTGCGTCATACCAAAAGACGTTTAAAGATGATACTTGTTGTTACCCTGTCTGGCGCTCGGCATTAAGGGGCTAAAACAAGGACTGGTCGGCTCGGAGTCAGTATACTGTGTCTGAGTGGGGTATTCATGTTAAACTGCGGCATGGTATCTCAGTGTGCTAGCACTATAAATCGGCATCAGTCCGGACTAGTACAAGCAGCCACACACACACACACATACACGTGCATGCACGTCGTTATATAAGTGCAATACTCTTGGACGCGACGTTAAACCCCATTTCACCTCACCTCCAAGCCTGTAAGTTAGTTCTGCCGTCTACCCTGACTTTGTGGATCATTTCTCATGATACCAATCACTGAATTGTCTGGTCTTGACTCGATTGTTAGTTACCATCCTGGGTTACATAAGGTCTTCAGCAACCCATGCTTGTCGTAAGAGGCAACTAGCGGGATCAGGTGGTCAGGCTTGCTGACTTGGTTGATGCATTTCTTCGTATCCGAATTGTGTGGATCAATGCTGATGATGTCAGTCAATGGATTGTGTGGTCCAGACGATTATTTACAGACCCGCCGTGACATAGCTGGAATATTGCTGAGTGTGAACTATACAAACAGCAACAACTTGCCATCCAATCTGTTTATGTTGCAGCTGGTGCCGGAACATGTCGTGATGACCCCTGAGGAAAAGTCAGAACTTCTATCCAGATAGTATCCTTGTTTCCACTTCCTGGTTAATTCTGAGCAACTTCCCAGGTTGATTCTCAGCTCTCTTACAGTAACTAAAGAAGAAAATATTGGGAGAGCTTTGTCAATATTAACTTTGGTACATATGAAATATTTGTTAAATTGCATTTAACTAATGACCAAGTTTGAAGTTTACAGTGCAGGTTTGATTTAAAGATAAAACTAAGGTGACTTGTTTTCTTACCATTTCAGTCTTTATGTTTCATATTCACTTAAAACATAGACAACAGAAAACACTTTATTTCATCTGTGCATATTACTTCTTGTGCGTGAACGATTTCATTCAGTTTCCTCCCTTTATTTTGATTGGTCTTTCCGTGTTTCACTGTGTTCATGACTCTTCTGACCCGTAAACATGCGGGGTAGAGTAGGTCTAAAGCAACCTATGTCTGCAGTGAAAGAAGACTATGCTTTTCGTAAGAGGCAACTAATGGGATTGGGTGGTCATGCTCGCTGACTTGGTTGATGCATATCATCGTATCCCAATTGCGTGGATCGATGCTGATGATGTCAGTCACTGTATTGTGGGGTCCAGACTCGATTATTTACAGACCGCCGTCTTATAGCTGGAATATTGCTGAGTGCGTAGTTAAACAAAACAATAACAACAACAACAACAAAATTATGACTCTTCCCCTGAATCTGTTTTGTTTTTGTTGACTCTCCTGATTCCTGTGGAGCCATGGTTAGACTAGTAGTTGAAGGTGCCGTACAACAATGTACTCATTTGTGGCTTGACAGGATCCTAGGAGTTTGAATCCAAGATTCGGTCCTTGGTCTGTCAGTAACAAACCATTGCTTTGAAGTTTCACCTACGTGATAGATTTTAAAGATTAAGTCACTTCTGGCTCCTAGTGACATGACTGTAGACACGTCAGGATGGCATTGGCGATAACCAATTCTGGATTGTCTGGTGCCTTGTCTTGAAGATTGCTCACAATATCAATCACTAGTTTATCAGGGCCAGAATATAGCTAGAATATTTCTGAGTGCAACGACTTTAAACAAACAAACAAACAAACAAAAGCAATCTTTACGTATTTACTTACTCTGTGAATTTTCACTCACATTGTGTCCGTGTTCCTGACTCTTGACAGAGTTATGCCCCTTGACCTATCTCCAGCAAACTGAAGGATTCCCAGATTCCCAGAATCCAGCAAGGTGATCCGGTAGCCAGATACTTTGGTTTAAAACGTGGTCAGGTAAGTCTTGTTTCAACGATTAATCAAAGAAAATATGACATATCAATGTTGTGAATTCAAGAACACCCCCCACGAACTTTATAGATGTAGAGATGTGCTTATGGACGACAGACATGAACTGATACTTTAGGACTGTAAGGATCCATATCCATTATGCATATTTTGAGAGTGATGTTGTGATATGAGGCATACCTCAGTAGTGAGTCCGCAATATGATACACATTTTGATATTGGAGCTGCAATATGATACATACCTTGAGTATGCAATTTAATAATAATGAGGTCATGATCTGATACACATCCTACAGTAAGGTCATGATCTGATACACATCCTATTGAGAGGTCACGATATGATACACATCCTATAGTGAGGTCATGATCTGATACACATCCTACAGTAAGGTCATGATCTGATACACATCCTATTGTGAGGTCACGATATGATACACATCCTATAGTGAGGTCATGATCTGATACACATCCTACAGTAAGGTCATGATCTGATACACATCCTATAGTGAGGTGACGATATGATACACATCCTTTTATTGAGGTCAGGATATGATACACATCCTATAGTAAGGTCACGATATAATACACATCCTATATTGAGGTGACGATATGATACACATCCTTTAGTGAGGTCACGATATGATACACATCCTGTACTGAGGTCATGATATGATACACATCCTGTACTGAGGTCACGATATGATACACATCCTTTAGTGAGGTCACGATATGATACACATCCTATAGTGAGGTGACGATATGATACACATCCTTTAGTGAGGTCACGATATGATACACATCCTGTACTGAGGTCATGATATGATACACATCCTATAGTGAGGTCACAATATGATACACATCCTTTAGTGAGGTCACAATATGATACACATCCTTTAGTGAGGTCACGATATGATACACATCCTATAGTGGGGTCGCAATATGATACACATCCTATAGTAAGGTCACGATATAAAACACATCCTTTAGTGAGGTCATGATATGATACACATCCTGTACTGAGGTCATGATATGATACACATCCTGTACTGAGGTCACGATATGATACACATCCTTTAGTGAGGTCACGATATGATACACATCCTATAGTGGGGTCACGATATGATACACATCCTTTAGTGAGGTCACGATATGATACACATCCTGTACTGAGGTCATGATATGATACACATCCTATAGTGAGGTCACAATATGATACACATCCTTTAGTGAGGTCACGATATGATACACATCCTATAGTGGGGTCGCAATATGATACACATCCTATAGTAAGGTCACGATATAAAACACATCCTTTAGTGAGGTCATGATATGATACACATCCTCTACTGAGGTCATGATATGATACACATCCTGTACTGAGGTCACGATATGATACACATCCTTTAGTGAGGTCACGATATGATACACATCCTATAGTGGGGTCACGATATGATACACATCCTATAGTGAGGTCGCAATATGATACACATCCTATAGTGAGGTCACAATATGATACCTATCCTGTAGTGAGGTCATAATATACACATCCTTTATTGAGGTCACAATATGATACCTATCCTGTAGTGAGGTCATAATATACACATCCTATACTGAGGTCACGATATGATACACATCCTAAAGTGAGGTCACGATATGATACACACCCTATAGTGAGGTCACGATATGATACACATCTTAAAGTGAGGTCACGATATGATTTACATCCTATTGTGAGGTCACGATATGATACACATCTCAATAGTGAAGTCACAGTGTGATACGCATCTCTATACTGAGGTCATGATACGATAAACGTATCGACTGTGAGGTCACGATATGATACTCATGTCGATAGTGAGGTCAGGACATGATACCCAATCAGATTATGAAACCTCTACACTTGATGTGTTAAAAAGGAAACATTTCATTCACCACAAGAAATGAGCTAAAACCTGTGATTGTGGGTTCGAATCCCAGTTCGCCCCGATTATGTTTATAAGTTTGTCAGCACTATACTCATGCTTGTTGGTTTCCACAAAATCGGTAAACGTCTGAGACCTGCATCACTTCGGGCTTTCTTCTCACATGAAGCTGACATGCTGGGATATGACTAGTATACTGTTAAAAGCAGCGTTAACACTCACTCACTCACTCACTCACTCACTCACTCACTCACTCACTCACTCACTCACTCACTGGTAAATGTCTAAGACATCACTTCATCAGAGCATCACCTTAGGCCCAATTTAATCTGACACACAACATTAAACCAACTCATACACTCACACATTCACACTCTCACCAGGATCAGTCTGTATGACTTGTGCAAACATTAATTGTCAGAGTCTGGCCGCCTCGACCCATCACATCCTGTTGGTGTATAAGGCTAGTGTACAGGTCTAATACAAATTCAACAAGAATTTGTGTAAAATTAAAAACACAACACAGCAGTATTTGAAGGATTTTCACATATACTGTACTGTCTGCATCGAAACGAAAGTGTTCCAGTTTTCAGAAATACATGATTAAGCAAGTGATGCATGCACATTTTCCAAGCTTTCAAGTACATGTACCTCGTTTAAAACTTGAAACAGTTTCTTTAGGATAAAATTGTCACCTACCTCATGAACAGATGAGACAACCTGCCTTCACTCTGCCCTTTCTAGTTGGTGGGATGACCTTGAGCTTGATCTGGGATTCAAACAATCATAGGATCCTGGCATGCTTAAGGGACACAACTCTGGTCCTCAAATTCCAGCACCTAAGATGAGGCCCAGACTCAATTCCTCACATGGGTTCAATGTGAGAAGCCCATTTCTGGTGTCCCCCACCATGATATTGCTTGAATACTGCTAAAAGGTGGATTAAAAACCTTGCTCACTCACTCACTGTGCTATTTGTAATGCAGACATTTATCTGTAGAAAAAAAGTACCAACTAAACAACTACACAGCCATGACACTGGTTGCTAAACTAGTACAGATATACTGAGATAAACAGGGGCCTAGTTAAGAGATGTCATACCGAGGCCTTCAAGTTCACATACCGTATTTGACGTAATAAGCGCCCAGGGCGCTCTCAAAATTAGAAATAAGGTGCTCTTATTAGAATATTATTTTTGTGAAAAAAGAGTTGAAAAGAGAATTTTGAGTTGAAAGATAAATTTCTTGGTTTACGCTAACAGCCTGAAATGTTTATATTCCACCGACGTATTTTTCCAGAATTTAATTGCCCATAATTAAGGGTGCATAAATAAGTCTTGTGTATATTGATCAATCGGAAAGGGGTGCTAACTGGGATTGTTCATTAGCCAATATCTTAGCAAATATCGCTTATTACATGTATTAGAGCGGGGCGCTTATTACGTCGAATACGGTATATATATTATTATGTAGATTGAAACTTGTGTGCAAAAGTCCACTGGTTTGTACTATGGGTACCAGTATCCCATGCTTGTCTCACAGTGGTGATTCCAGTGCAGGATAGGTCCCCAGGATCTCAAATCTTGTCTCCCAGGGATATACCGTGAACTTGGTATCCCCTGTTTGTCTCCCGGTGGGGATTCTTGGGAAGGATATGTTCTCAGCATCCCAATCTTATCTCCAAGGGATGATTACAAGGAGATAATGTGTGAGATAATAAGAGCAATTCCCCAATGTGGACCCAGGTTAGAATATGTCCCCAGTTCCCCATGCTTGCACCCCATGTGGACCTTGATGAGGACAGGTCCCCAGTACACTATCCTGGCACCTTTATGTGGACCCAGGTTAAGACAGGTCTCTAGGTATCTCATGCTTGCACCCCATGTGGACCCCTTTAAGGATAGGTCCCCGGTACACTATCCTGGCACCATTATGTGGACCCAGGTTAAGATAGGCTTCTAGGTATCTCATGCTTGCACCCCATGTGGACCTGGATCAGGACAGGTCCCCAGTACACTATCCTGGCACCCTTATGTGGACCCAGGTTAAGATAGGCTTCTAGGTATCTCATGCTTGCACCTCATGTGGACCCCTTTAAGGATAGGTCCCCAGTACACTATCCTGGCACCCTTATGTGGACCCAGGTTAAGATAGGCTTCTAGGTATCTCATGCTTGCACCTCATGTGGACCCCTTTAAGGATAGGTCCCCAGTACACTATCCTGGCACCATTATGTGGACCCAGGTTAAGACAGGTCTCTAGGTATCTCATGCTTGCACCCCATGTTGACCCCTTTAAGGATAGGTCCCCAGTACACTATCCTGGCACCCTTATGTGGACCCAGGTTAAGATAGGCCTCTAGGATTCTCATGCTTGCACCTCATGTGGACCCCTTTAAGGATAGGTCCCCGGTACACTATCCTGGCACCATTATGTGGACCCAGGTTTAGACAGGTCTCTAGGTATCTCATGCTTGCACCCCATGTGGACCCCTTTAAGGATAGGTCCCCGGTACACTATCCTGGCACCATTATGTGGACCCAGGTTAAGACAGGTCTCTAGGTATCTCATGCTTGCACCTCATGTGGACCCCTTTAAGGATAGGTCCCCAGTACACTATCCTGGCACCTTTATGTGGACCCAGGTTAAGACAGGTCTCTAGGTATCTCATGCTTGCACCTCATGTGGACCCCTGTAAGGATAGGTCCCCAGTACACTATCCTGGCACCCTTATGTGGACCCAGGTTAAGATAGGCCTCTAGGTATCTCATGCTTGCACCCCATCTGGATCATCTGAGTCGCTGGAATTTGATGACCATGGTTGTCTCCCTTAAGCATGCCAGGATCCTATGATTGTTTGAATCCCAGATTAGCCTGATTATGATCCTTTGTGTGTCAGCCTTCATACCTGTGCTGGTGGCGTTGACTGAAGTAGAAATGTTTCTCCTTCAATGCATCCTTTCCTCCCATATTAAGCTTACACGTCGTAGAACTTAATTGTTGTTGAAATCAAGATTAAGCTCACCTCACTCAGTAATTTACTCACTCACTCACTACTTGAAACTTG